AATCATATTTTATTTGAATATGATATATAATAAATATGATGAGATAATAAATATGAATAAAATAAATATAATAGATTAAAGGTTACCAAAGGCTTGACCTAATTACCTATTTTGGATGTTATATGTACATACATATGGGTAAATAATGTGTCTTTCTATGTCTCATGGTGTTGATGGTTCGATATAAGTTAATAAGAATATTATTTTTATATTAAAAATAATTTTATAATAATTTAATGTTTTTACAAGATCACTAACGACTGCTAATGTGAATGATAAAGATCGCACTGACTTTGAAATATATGAGTACAATCACAATATTAATATTGTTGGTTGCCTTATGTCGTTTGTAGTTTAATCTGAAATGAATCTATGATTTTTTTATATATTTTAATTTATTATGGAAAATTTTAGTATGTTGATACAAGATTACTACCGCTAGTGCTGGTGATGAGAGAGCGCACTGACTTCAAAGTATAGAATAAGGAAAATAGTTAAGTCTTTTGGATGTCGTAAATCGTTTGTACGGGTAGTACAATCTAAAATAATTATTTTAAATTAGGTTACTTTTAAAAAAGTGGGGCGTATTACGGAATGTTACTTTAGGTTATTATAGAATTATTTGGTATTACGGTTAGTGTGTGTGAAGAGGGCCCGACTGAGTTCAAAGTTAAAACGGAAGTATTCACATGTTTTGTCTCATGTCGATACTAATTTAGACTAAAACTAGTCGATTTTTTTATTTTAAAATAATTATGGAACAATTTTATATATTTCAATAAGGTTAATACCGCTAGTATGGGTGGTGGGGGAGCGGACTTACTTCAAAATGTAAAACGGCAATTTTTAAGTGGTTTGATTGTTTTATGTCGTTTGTAGTTTAATCTGCAATATTTTTTTAATTTAAAATTATTATGGATAAATTTAGTACGCTTATACAAGGTCAGTACTAACGGTATAAATGGTGAGAGGACTAAACTGATTTCAGAATATACAACGGTAATATTTATGTCAATTCTGACATGAAAATTAATTTACAAGATGCCAGTCATGGTCAGCCAGCACTAAGCTGCCTCGAAATAAGTCAATGACAGTCTTGACAAAGGACTTGATTTAATTTGATTTGAGTGTCTCTACGTATACTATCATACAGTAAATTATTTATCAAACAATGTTTATTAAAACATTTACAGTATAAAAACTTGAGGTCATCAAAGAACATTCTAACAAAAATTGGAAAAGAAAGCAGTACGATATACCTATACTAGTAATGAACATAAATATATTTATATATTATGTAAATATAATTATATAATACGAAAATTGTAACAAAAACAAAGATATGAAAGTTGTCATATTAAAAAAAAAAACAGCAACAGAAATAATAGTTTAAAAAAATATAAGTAGGGCGCAAGTTCATCACATCATAACTATGTACCTACTTATCAAGACATCAATTAGTTACTTATTATAAGCATTTACCAAAATTCTGTAAATAAACAAATTGTAAAGAGTCCCTATCTACACCATAAGGATAAATAGCAGTTCTTAATTTATTCTTATGCCTGCGAAAGAAATTGGTTAATATAACGAAGGTTCTAAAATATTTATTTTAAGTATTTAGATATTACCTAAGTACCTACTTACCTACATACAGGTTTTAAGTGACTAAGGTGAAGTATTGCCTATTTTGACGACGTGTAAGTATTAGTAACCTACCCTTTTTATGGTGCAAACCCATCCAAGGCTTTCCCACCTAAACGTATGGATATTATTTAAGTCTAAACTATTTTAAAGGTGACAGAAAGTTCAATTTCATATCATTGAATGCTGAATAAGACCCCAATCTTCTCCCTCAAAGATGACTATGCATCACTTCATCGTGATGATTTGTTCATGCTAATACCATTTATGTTATTGATAGTGATTGTGGGTAGTTGAGAACTGATCATTATTACAGGTCAAAATAAGAGAATATTCGGTGGTAGACAGTGACTTAAAAATTGACTATAACATTTTAAGATAAAAAATAATACTATATTAAATGTTTATGTGCGATTGATATATAACCGAAGATATATGATCAATAAAATTGTGAATAAAAAATAATTGTGCCATTGTATGCTAAGTATACAGGTAGTTTAGCACTGTAATGACCCTCCTTATTTGGGTACTAAGTGGACCTCACAGAAGTCTGTCAAATTATTCAGAAAAGCATCATTTGAATTGGACCTGAATTTATTATCCTAGATTAAAGCCTAATTTACATTGTTAAACTAGTTTCATGTAGCATATAGCAAACTAGTTGTGTTATGTAAATTAAATTTATCTCAGGAAAACACAGATAATAATCAGAATAGTGATAAAAATAACCGCTTTCGTTAATATTTTTATAAACGAAATTTTCATACCAAATTTCATTCAATATGATAATGGACTGAACAAAAGATTCATAAAAATTACCATTAAAAATGAATCAGTACATAAAGTACCCCAGGTACTAAGTAATGATATAACCTAACCGTGTACCAAATTTCATTCATATATCATCAGTTTCTGCGTAAAAGAGTAACAAACATCTATTCGTCCATTGTTATAAACTTTCTCATATTTATTATATTAATAGGGTTATTATTAAGGAGAATATAATTAAGTTTAGTATATTCTCAAAGTGTGCGAAAGTACATTTTGTTATTAAAAATCTAACTTAACTAGGTGTAGTACATATGTACTCACTTCAATACTGTCTACATATTAGAACTAGGGCGGATCGGTTGATACCTATATATTTAATGCTAAGTATCTAAATAATATAATTATGGTCAATATTATGTGTAAAAGACCATTCGTTTTACAAGTATTAAGCACATAATTTTTATCTCAATTGGCTACAGTTTCTCAGATTTAATTAAAAAATATATAAATTTAAATAAAGACACTATCCTGAAAGCACTAAATTAATTTTAATACTTACCTATTATATATTTATTAATTACCTACCAATTATTGATAAATAATAAAATGCGAACCTATTTAGCCATATAATCTATTTATCCAAAAAAAATATATCCACGCTGTAACCATTTATTTAATTTATTGTAATTACATACCTATAAAAAGCCTTCCATTAAACAATTATTTACGATTTTTATTATTTATTATTATTTTTTATTTAATGTAATTATATAATTAAATAGATATTTCATTTACTCATTTATTTATATGAACCCATAATATTTATGAAGTGTAATAAAAAATAGGTTCATTAAGTAAGTACTATGCCTACTATTATGTTTGTTTATAGTAAGTACTGGATATTTTTTGTATTCTATTTATAGACTAATTTTTTTTATAATAGATAATTATATAATAATAATGCAGTTATTGGCTATAAATATCTATTTATATTACCGACCTAAATTCTATTAATAAATTCAATTAATAAATTTACTATAAAGGCCAGTTAATTAACATCAGGTAATATCAACCCAATTACTATTACCTAATACTTACAAAAGCACTTTATAATTTCTATTCGTAAATAAATAATATTCGTAATAGTAATATATTTTATAGGGTATCTTTTATCATATTGTCTATACATTACCTAAAACCCTTATCGAGTATACCTTATTTATTAAATACTTATTCGTATCAAAATAATTACGCATTTTTGATTAATTTTTATAGAAAAAAATCTGTTTTCATCTTTAGAAGCAATACATTTTGTATCCAAAATTTTGAAGTTTGTATTCAGTTATAGAAGAAGCAACAGGAACCTATTTTACCCGCCCAAAGGCAACAGCCGACGGCGGCTCAGGCGGCGGGCGAGAGGAATATAGGTACCTAGGTGGTCGCGGGGGCATAGTCTTTATTACCCATTCGTTGTTTTATAGCGCTTTTATATGGGAACTGAAACGCTGCAAATTATTATATAAATCCCTAGCCCACTCTACGAATCTCCATATCCAACTTCTAGGCAAATATCAATTTTTACTCAAATAAAAATTATTAAATATTAAAATTAGCACCAAATGTTGAGATAATAGAAGGTAAATAACAAGATTCAGTGTCAATAAAATAATAATGGCGCGTTTTATAGCATTTATATTACTCTTGTTGAAATATATCGTATTAGCAAAGTGATAGACAGGCATTAAGCAGCTTTTAATCAGCAATAAATAAGTAGAAGCCTAATTCTGATTGGACAACCACACATTCGGTAATTGGACGTTTCGTTAGATAATTTTTACGAGGCCAAATTACGACTGCATTAAATACATATAAATAGCAATAATGAGCCTATTCTTTACTTTAATATAAACAAATAAGCTTGAAAATGAGATGATATGAAAAAATTTAAGATGATGCTATATATAGTTTTACAATATGATATAAAAAACTTAGATGTACACAAACATAAACACGTATAAGTTATTAAGTACTTATTTTGTGAAACACGGGTAATTATTGCACCTTGTAGGTATCTATTTTGGAGGTAAGGAAATTAGAATTACGATTCCGGTGCAATAAAATGGCTATTTACCTTCCTGCATAGGTATTACTTTTAATTGGTGAAAATGGAATGATTCCCCTGCCTGTGCTCGATAGCACAGCGAATTCATTCTCAAATATCATCTTTCACTGGTGACCTATCAGTGTATAGATCGCTATACACTGATAGGTCACCAGTGAAAGATGATATTTGAGGATAAATTCAGGTCAGTTGGCCCACCATGACGTGTTCGACAAGAAATAACCACGGTGGTTTCCAAGGAGAACCACTGTGTAGGATACATAGAGTATCTAAAAGAGTGGATAGAATGTCTAAAATAGGTATCTACATGCATTTCTAACTTCTATTTAATTTTGTGATAAGGTAAATTAGGCAGATAGATCCAATTGAAAATTTTAATAAATATTTTTATACCTATTTTTTTCAGATATCAATGGGAACATTTGCAATAACACAAGCATGCAAGAAGGAGTAAAACATTTACCAGTGATGGACATCCAGGGGTACCGCGGGATATCGGGCAGAGGCTGGGCAGAGGGTTGCGCACAAGCTGCTCCCATTGCGTCCACCGTAGCTGCGGATGCTGCCGATGCTGCTGACGCAGCCGCCTGGTGGTAGAATTGAGCCGCCGCGGCCATACTTGCCGACGCCGCTGAAACTGCCGCTCCACCATTGTGCTGTCCCAAAGCGTAGTTCACCATAGGATCACCTCCGACTGCGGCGGGATAGCGGCAACTCTTGTCATCCGCAGCTGACAACCCTCCGGTCGCCGAGAATGGCACCGAGCCTCCGAACTGTTGATGGTGCGACACGTAAGGATACATCCTCGCCGGCGCCCCCGGCGACGCCGACGATGAGGATGATGAGCGTTGAGGGCTACCGGCACCCGGCGAGCCTGCTCCCAATGCCGCTGCCCCCAGCCCGCCAGACAGCGAGGACGACAGCGACGTCGACAGCGACGACGACAGCGAAGAAGACAGCGACGCCTCTATAGGCGACGCCCCAGCACCCGCGAACAAATTCTGGTGATGGAATTGCTGGTGGTACTTCGGGAGCATGCTATCGATGATAAACTTGGAACTCATCGCTCGGCGGCGACGCGGCGCGCGACGATCGCCTCGCGGGAGATGCGTTTATCGCCGGCGATTCGGATCGATTCTCGCGCGTGCACCTCTACTATGGCCGCGGATCGTTTATGACCCGCGTATGAGGCTCTACGACTCCGAATTCCCCGTCGTGGCGAGCGTACCGCTGCCGCGCGCCGCTTGCGAGACGGCGAAACGCGGCACGTGGGTGCGAAAGAGATGCGACCACCATGAGGGGCGACACGCCGGAACCCTCTCCGTCTCATTAATTCCTACCTGCGTAGCTTACATTAGAAAGAGATAAAAGCTATTCGCTAACGATCATTCTGACGGCCATTGTTCGTAATGGCGCTGAGCCCCGCACTACCCCGCGCCAACCTCGTCTACGCCAATAGTAATCCGGTGCAGAACATTCACCGCCAATCACAAACCATTCCGGCACTTCTAGCTGTCAAACTGAATGGTTTTACGCGAAATTGCAACATTAAATGTACAATAATTTTCATGTCCGGATCTTGCTTCCTAATTTCCTAATTCAATATTTTATAACATAATTTCTGATAAACACTGCTTAGTATTATTATAATTAAAACTAATTTTAAAAAGATACATAATTAAAATTTGGACAATATAAAAGGGCTAAAAATAATATGTTGTTTATCGTACTATTTTCATATAAATGTGTTCGTATTTGCATAATTATTACCAAAAATATTAATAAGTAATAATATTAATACTTTTGTTACATTGTCTCTTAATAGGAAAATTTATATGGCTTAAATATTATCATACAATTGTATTATTATCTACATAATAATGTAGTTTCATAAGAAACATTCAAAACTATAATAATGGACTTATTTATAATAAGGTATTAACTATATTGATAAAGAAAATGTTATTAATGTTTCTATACCAAAAATTAATATTAAATTAATTAAACCAATTATACAAATTTGTATTAACAAGCTTTAAAAATATAAAGCAATAATATCTATTATAATAAAATCAGAACAAAAATCAATTTAAAATTGTGCTGAATTGTTTTAAGCGAGCCACGTGGTCGGACGAGTATCACTCTTCTCTTTTCCGTAGCTGTTTCTATCTTCGTCGCACGTTTCATTCATCTTCACAAGTCGTAACCGCATTGAGCACGTGTGCAATAACAATCTTTACGACTATTAAAATAAAACAGTTTATTGACTGAAAATTTTATTTATTTACAACACTTTTGATTGTTACATGTGTTTAGTGCATGGTTTTTATAGGCTTAAGTTGCCTTTTCAGCTTTATCAGGTCGGTGGTACGACGGTGTGGCAGTAGAACATTGCATAAGTATAGGTTTTATGTTGTTATTGCGATGTTTTTGTCGTAAACGTATGGAATGCATGATACGGACAGTTAGGGTCATTTCTTTTACGATATGGCCAATTTTTTATTGTTTTCTAATTGTTTTTCGATCATAAATACAAAGGTTAATGGAATTTGAATGTTATTAATTAAGTGAAGGCAAAGCTTTTATGCATAGTACTCAATTGTAATAAACCCTTCTTTATTTATTTTTATGTTTAGGCAGGTTGATAATTCTGAAATAAGAACTGGATAAAGTAGTAAATACGTATATTTAATGACAAATGGATATTTATTTAAAAGCTGCCTTGGTACTAGATAGGTGCCTTTACCCTATCAATTAATTTTCTGTAAAATTGTAATACTAATTATTACTAGACTCATAAAAATGTCAATTCAAAAATTCTTATTGTTTACTAGAATAAAAAAATATTTTTATATATATATATTTTTTTTGAAATAGTTTATATTATAATAGAGAAAAATGGCTGATTAGTGATAAGAGCATAGTTTAATTTCCAAATGAGAGAAGATATAAGTAATTTACTTGGTTACATGCAACGGTCTACAATAAAGTGATACTAGAAGATACTAGTAGAACCGAACCGACTGAAAAATTCCTTTAGTAGACATTACATGAAAAGTATTAATTGTTTAAATTATAAGAATTAAAAATATATATTTAATATCCACACAGATCAAATGTCATGTAGGCATTGAATAAAAAATATATTTTTCTATTTATTTATTTATATATTGCAAAAAAATATTATAAACATAGAGATACACAATATACCTATAGATATTGATATATCGTTAAGAAGAATGCAAAGAGGAGAGAAAAAAGCTGCAAGTTACTATGACAGTTAACAAAAGAACCCATTATCTTCCCACGGATGGGCAAGCACGGTTCCCTCTGATAAAGGAGGAATATTAACCTTCTATGAACCATGCTATATATCTATGCTAGTTGGGTTGGAGGCTTTTTATAGAATGATAATTGTTAAAGGTAAAACACCGCAGTGGAAGCGTTTTATAAGGAAAAGATTCTGTCTGTCAAGGAGGACTAACCTGGCATCGGCTTCGTGAGTTTTTCTGCTGTAGGTGATCGGCAGTTCTTCCTCAAATCCTATATTCAAATCTTGCGAAATGACCCCGTTGACCCGTACCATTGAGACTCCTTCTTGATAGAGCCCAGCAATCAACGCCACCAAATGCGAAGGCACTCCCATTTCCCCTAGAACCACACACAGACAATCCCAGCGGGATTGCGTGTGGGTAGTTCTACGGTACAGATCTATCTATTTATTACCCTAATATAACTGCACCGGGGGGAAGGGATTATTAGTAATGGACAAGTTCGTCCCTATTGGTATCAATACCTATACTCTACTAGGTCGATCTTCAAGCGGTTCCTCCTGGAAACCATCGTGACTAATTTATCGTTGAATCCATCATGATGGGCTAACTAAGCTACCTTTTCATCTTCACCAATCATCCCTCACTGGCGCCCCGCCAGTGTATACCGATAGAACAGGCGGGGTCATTATACCATTAGCTATCATCCATTAAAAAAGTAACTGTACCTACTAATGGCTGACTCAAAGATTTCTTTCCCCATTCATTTTGACAACTGGTGATACAACACATATTGTTGTTAAAAGCACTGGTCAATTAGAGTTTATTGGATACATTATATTTTGTTAGTAATTAGATACAACATAAATATTGCTATTACGACTAGTATAGATATTTAATATCATCTAAATTACATAAAGTCCTTATTTTTTATTATAAGGCTATTGTTTTCGATATGTAATGATAAATGAATAATCTTATGTACAGCTAGATGACAGTAAAGACAGTTAACTTTTCTGCTACAAAAGCAATCGAATTATCTTACTCTATCAATACAAGGTATTAAATTTTCTTCTAACAACGTTTTATCTACTGCCCTATAATTAAAAATAGAAGAACGCCTTCATAGCAAAGAAACGCCGCCAAGCCATCACGCCCTGTTTTATGGGGGATCGATGTACAATGCCGGTGTAATGCAGGCCACAAAGTCTCAGGTGGGCGGAGCGAGTGTCCATCGTAAAAGTCCATGAGTCCAGAGAAAATTTACAACTATCGCGAGCGAGATTTAACGAGCAGTTTATAGATCGGACGCTTTAAAATTCGATATAAACTTGGTTTGTCTCAATGAAACATACATTGATGTGACAAATATCGTGCTATTAATCAGGGCGGTTGCGTAATTTTTATAGATATCAAACTATATGATCGCTATTCGGGTCACCCACGCAATTTTTATGACGTAATGCGTAACAGATGTAATTGTTTTTATCTTTATATCCTATAATAATTTTATAAATGTAAAAGTTTCTAAAGATGGATGTTTATTACTCAATCACGCGTAAAAGGCTGAACTGATTTGAATGATATTTAATACACGGATGAAACATGTCATAAATTAACCATAAGTTAAGTACTTTAACTTTAAATCATGCATCTATATTCATAGAAAACAGCTAGTATGAAATAATATTTGATTCAATTGATTACCTTTAGAAACGATTACTTTTATTGATTCCTTAAAGAATCAATTACATTCTGTTGTACAAAAATGTATTGTACAATTTCTAATAAGATTTTGTAGATATTATGGTATATAGTAAGTATGTTTATATATGTACATATCACAAAATTGATAAATAAGCATTCATATGTTCTGATGGTAAGTGGTAATCGTTGTCTATGGACACCAAGTTTTAATCTTCTGGAAAAATCCGGAAGATAGTGCACTCCTTAAGTGACATTTTAAATTGTACTCTATATGATTATTAAGATTCTAACATCTGTGTATAAAAGCAAAGTCCATGTTAATGATGAACAGTGTAACGATATATAGTCGTACATGATACCTAAAATTTTTCCCGTAGTAAAGTTTAGTACTATAGTTGTTGTCAACAAAGGTGCTTAATTTTTATCCTTCTTATGTTCCTGTTGATAAGCAGCTGTAGTTGTGTGGGTGTATTTGAATACGACTATGACATTTTAAACACACACGGAGACACGAAGGCGTAACATCTTAGTTCTTAGGAATGGCAAAACAAGGATGTTATAATGTGTATTCTTTGTGATATTCATGACGGTGTTCATGTCTATGAGCAACAGTTGTTATTTTTCATCGTGGCCCGACAGCTTGTTTGAGACAAAATCTGTTCTTAAACTTATGACATGATACAGTTTATTCGTTTGTTGACAATTTTATCATTACATTGAGTAAAATCTAAAAAAAAAAAATTATATTACCCGAGGAATATTTTGTACAAAAGTCGTTTGCTTGGCTACCTCTGCCTTATTCGTGTTTCTACCGTGAAGCAGTTGTATGTGTATTTGCATGACTGTGTTTCGATTTGAAGGGTGAGATATTGCAGTGAATTTAAATGGTACAGAGGAATAACATCTTAGTCCTCAGAAATGATAATACATGGGGGATATCATGGGCTTTTGCCATGTTACTGCTCATGTCATTTTGTCCATGGTACTGCTCATGTCTATAAGCGACGGTTACCACTTTCCATCAAGTGGGCTATCAGCTTGTTTGCCATTCTAAGTTGCATAAAAATAACGAAAAAATGAGATACTTGGTGACAACAGTAGTCGATGAGGGGATGGAATTTTTATTAATGTGACTAGAGGCTTCATTGCTAACAATATACCTTATCAAGCCGACCTCCACATGGTTCCCCCTAGAAACCATCATAATTAATTCACTATATATTACTATATAGTATATAATTTACTATATATATACAAAATTATTATAATATACTATATATATACAAAAT